TACATTTTGTTTAGACAGTGAAAATAGTTCGGGCCCTTTCTCCCTGGGACACTGATTTTGACAATGTAGGTTTGAGAGTTTTTTGGATCTGCCACCATCCCTTATATGAGGTCAAACTCATGGTCATGGACTGAGTACTCTAGAGCAGATGTTAAAATGGCAATTCACATGCCAAAAGGTTCTTGGTGAGTCTACTAGTTGGCACCACTTGTGAGGAGCAGAGAAGCATGAAGTTATCTACGAAAAGAAGAGCTGTGATACACCCGTGACAAGGCATTAGAGCGCTGAAGGTGGGGTGGTCCATTAGCTATCCTACTGGGAGTTTGGGGTGATTATGTTTTTATAATTTTGCTGCTACTGGTCACCGGATGCAGGATGACCTGGGGAGTAGATACAATCTTAAGTCAGGTGTCTCTCTTCCACCAGTGACTTTCCCAACAGCAGAAGTAGTAAGCCCTTTGGTAAAGAAGGATGACCTAGTTGTACAGCACGGCACTGCCTTTAACCAAGATAGTCTTCTTGTTTGCCAATAGCAGCCCAATAAGCAATGCACTAGAATTAATTGGTCATGGGTATGACCCAGTTCCTCATGACGAATTGTTCTGTCTTTCCTTTACCGTCATCCTCCAGTGTTACTTTGGTCAAATGCAGGGGGAAAGCTCACAATCAGTCAGTTCATCTGTATGGCAACTCCCACCATTTAAAATGAGAACCAGTGAGGGCACGAACAGCAATAGTGGTCTGGAATCCAGTTGAGATAATGTGCTACTCAAATCAAAGTAGCTTTGGGAATGGTAAAGCTGGGCATGTGAAAACTCATGCAGAGTAGATGACAATTTTGAAGCTGCTAAAACAGCAGGCTTTATTTTTACAAAGCCAGGGCTTTGTTGCAAACCTCACCTCCTACAAACACTAGCACCTGGTTGTGCTCTGCCAAGTCAAACATTTCTTTCTTTTTCCCTCAAGCTTCTATTTATGCTTTGGTCAGCTGTAACAGAGTCAGTGAAACTATGATAAATTGGGTATGAAAACAAATAAAAAGATCTGCTTGGATTGCTCGCTGACATATACTGAACTGAATTGACCATTCCCCCAGAGTTCT